GTGAATGTCTCTGAAAGCGCTCAAGTTCTTCCTGGGCATGAAGTGGCTGGACAGGAGACGGCGCCGGAAGGAGCAGTACAGATTTCTGGCGAGGAGACCGACCAAAAAGAAGGAGAAGGCGGGAGCAATGATCTCCGTGGTAATGATGCGAAGATGTTGGATGGTGGTCCGGTGAGGAGTGACCTTCAGCAATTGCTGGTGAAAGGCCTTCTGACTCGAATTTATTGGAAGGTTGCAGTTGGCAAGTTGCCAATGGGGCAAAGAGATTGCCAAAAAGGGTCCAATAAGATGGATCGAAATTTGGTTATTAGCATGTCATCCGAGGGTGCAAGCGAACAGGATGAGAACCTGGCACTGGAGGACGATGCTGATCAGTCAATGGGAGACGGTGCAATGGTTATGGTGTATGATCCAGGAACGCTGATCCAGTCGCCAACAACTGATTGGGTTATGCGTCGCGGTCTGACCGATCGTACCGTCTGGCCAGCAATGGCGCACCTGGCACAGAGGATATGTGCTGAAATGGTTCAAGTGGATGAAATGAATGCCCAGCTAGGGACTGGAACACTCCTTTTTCAAAGGAGAGATCAAGGATATTATACTGACCTGCATCATTCGTTCCATGACAACCCGTGCTTGCCGGCGGTGGGGAATTACCCTCTTTCGGTGATGGGTGCCTTGTTGTCTCCTGGTCTGGAAGGGGAATTCAAGAATACGGACAAGTTTGGTACTGCTATGGAGGCAATTGCCTATGATTGGAGCCGCAGTCCAGGCATGGAAGTTCATATTGAACTTATGGCGAGGGTAGCCAAAATGGTTCACCCATTCCTGAATCTGGGAGCACAAGGGTCGGTGATGGTTTCAGAATTTCTCTGGCAGCGCGGGAGGGCTCGGTTGATGGAGTTTCTTCAAGCGGCGACTTGTGCGGACCAATTGGAGGCTCTCTGGAGAAGGATGGACGACGATGCGGATGAGGAGGTGGATCCTTCGACAGCGATGCTGGAAGTTCTTGGACTAGAGGATGCGGTGCTTGATCAAGGGAACAATGAATCCCTTATTCCCATTGAAGATGCTGGAGGTGAGACAAGCGGTGACACTGGAGGGAAGGGCAAAGCGCCAGAAGTTTCTCCGGAAGAGGAGAAATCCAGTGGGTCATCCAGACTGGCGGACACAAGGATTTTCTTGTGGTCAGTGTACTCCCGCGTGGCTTCGAATTTCTCTATGCAGGACCGCACTACTGGTAAGATCTTTGACAGCACCAAAGGATATCCTGGTGAAGGACCAAACAATGATGACAATCCTTCCTCTAAGGGGAACTTTCCCTGGATTTCAGAAGACTACCTCGACGAAGTGGTGTCAAAAAAGATGGAAAGGTCTTCAGATATGGATGGGTTTGTTCCGGGAAGTGAGGGATCATTGGAAAAGGTAGAGGTGGAGAATGTTACTGCCTCTAAAATTCTTATGGCTCTTTGGAAGAAGGGACATAGAGTTGGGTTTAGAAGGTTGCGTCGTTTGAATGCATCTGGATGCAAGGTTGGAGCAATGAAACGTCCAATCAAAAGGGTGCAGAAGATTGGCGCTAGGAAGGCCTTCATGAAGATGTTCAATGTTTTTGGATCGTCTCAGCATGGCTCAGGAGTTGGCGGAAAACCGATCATGAAGGTGGTAGGACCAAGGCCAGGTTTTCCAGCTGTACTCCAAGCACCAAATACTGATAGCACGTCGGGTGAAGGGAGCAGTCCCCAGGTACATGGCAATGTTCATGTAGAGCACAGTCGCCCTATGGACCGGTATGAGGCAGAGCGCTTGGAGAAGAGGAAGAAGGGTTTCTGCTATTGGTTTGGCAAAGGGAAAGATCGCTGCAAATTTGGTGACGACTGCAAATTCATCCATTCCGAAGATGATGTGGTGCTACATTCATATTGGTGCAAGTACTATGTGGCAGGGAGAGAATGTTTCGCTGGAAAGGATTGTGAGTTCTCGCATGATGCAACTGGTGTGAGGTGCGTCCAGTTTGCTCGGTCTGGGAAGTGTCGGTTTGGTGACAGGTGTGTCTTTGGACATGAGGTTCCGTTGGAAAAACAGAGGCCAAGGTCTCCAAGGACGCCCCCAAGGGATGGTCCAAGGAGAAAGTCTGGTGCAAATGGTGGAAAAAAGGAGATCTCTCCTGAACAGTTCGGTGATGATGAGGAGGATTTTATGGTTTATGACGAAGAGACCAAGATGACGGAACTGTTGATGGAGGCGATTTCATTTCTGTCCAATGGCAAGTCAGATTTGGCTCGAGCAGAGGCGGACCCATTGTTCAAACTCCTGAAGATCACTGGAGATGCTGACTACATGGATCAAGTATGGGTTTCGTGGACCACTGAAATGTTGTCAGTGCTGGAACTTCTCGAAGTAGTGAAGTCGTACGATGTTTCGCTCGCGGAGGTGGAAGAATGGGTCAATGACCTGAGGATATGGTATGAGCGAGCCAATTTGGGAGAAGAAAAGGATCCCAAAAAAGGGAAAAAGAGGTCCCTAGAAGGGGAGTCCAGCAAAGATATTCCTGCCGAAAAAGAAGTGGTTGAGACTTCGGAGACGGAGGTTGCCGTTGAGGAGGAGAAGAAAAAGGTAAAAAAGAAGAGGAAAGCTGCAGCTATCGAAGATCCTTATACCCTCATGGTTCCAAAGCCGAAGAAGATGCCGGCGGTCATTGAGAAGGGTGGATCATCATCCAATGTGGTGGTTTCTGCAGTGGAAAAAGCCTCAAAAGCGCGCATAAAGTCAAATGTCGGTGGAAAGACAAAGAAGAAGGAGAAAAGTCAGAGTCCCAAAAAAGAAGAGGTGGTAATTGTGCAAGATCCTGAGGAAAAGGATCGTCCATCCGATGCGGAGGCACCAGGGTCTGCCAATGCGAATGAAGAGCTGGATCAATCTTGCCAGGCGATTGAGGATGCGAAGAGAGAAGGATTGGTATCCTCAATTCAAAGGGGCATACAGGATCCTGTTCTTACAGTTTCGGACCTGGAGTATATTCTGCTGCAACTTCACCTCAAGATTGCCAACAATCGGAAAAAGAAGTGATTGGATGGTATGGATGAAGGGATGGTTTTTCTCTTTCTGGAGACAGGTGCGCTGGAACAGCCAATGTGCTGACAATGTGGTGGTTACTATTAAGGGTATGGAAATCCCTGATAGTAGGAGTCAGTAGCTTTTCGCGTAGCGAAGACCACGGTTTGTGGTGAAGAAGGCCAAGGAGTCTTCAGTGATGAGAGGATCAAGGTGAAAAAAGATTCTCTATGGGTAGTAGGTTAGCCAATGTGCTATAATTCCGTCCTGGAAGACGTTAAACCACAATTTGCATTTCAAGCAGCTGGCTGCTGCCGTAATGGCAGTTTTTGGCCAAAAGATCTGCATCTCCAATGTGTCCTAGGAAATCCTAGGACAGGGGGAGTGCGGAGCTGCAATTGGTATTGTAGAAAAGAGTTAGTGTTGAGAGTTGGAAGGGTTAATGAACCCGGTAATCGTATTTGGCTCAAGATGGGCTTGAACAGAAAGCCACAAGTTCAAAAAGAAGTGCCTGGGTTCTTAGGGTTTGGTAAGGGTGTGGATTCCTTCCCCCTTTCCTTCCCCCCTGGGTTGCTCTTATCCGTGTTCTTGGTTGTTTCTTGGTTCGATCTGGGAAATATAAGTTCAGGGCGATTAGGGGAGTTGATTTCCTTCCTTGGTTGTCCCCCCCGTATAGGGTTTAGGGTTTAGGGTTTAGGGTTTAGGGTTTAGGGTTTAGGGGTGTGGCTGGACACGAAAAGGCTTTCAGGTTTCGGAGTTTAGAGTGTTGGAGGGTCAGAGCTGTAGCGCTTTCGCGGGCGCAGGTCGTGTTCAAGGATGACAGCCGCCTCGTGGACACATACAGCGCCTGAGCTAAACCCTAAACCCTAAACCCTTGACCCTAGACCCTAGACCCTAGACCACAACACCCCAGCCCTTTACCCAGGAACCGAGCCCCTGAATGTGCCAAAACCTGGGATCCCCCTTAGTAAAATGAGCTTTGTAATGCTCATCGCCTGGACAATACCCATTGCTCTCGAACCGATTTGCGTTTAGTTCCGTCGGCCAATTCATGCGTACTCTTGTTCGGGGCTGCGGCTGAGGGGATAGCATTGTGATGTGAGAGTCTTAGATTCAATTTGTGAAGTTTTTATAAAGAGCCAAGGCAGCAGGATTTAAAGAAGTTTGGGGGGGGGGGTAAACGAAAGGCAAGCTGTAATCCATATCCCCCTTGGGAATACTTTTATTTTTGTTCATATAAAACCCAAGGGTATATTGAAAATATTTTTGTTAAGGTTCTAATTAAGGGGAGTATAGTAATTAGCTCGAAAGCCTTGGAAAGGCAGAGGAGTGACGGATGAAGCCAGTGACTTTGCCCGCGCTGCATGCGGCAAGCGCATTGCCGCTGAGCTGGCAACGAGGAGTTTGAAGGATTACCTTAAACCCTTAACCCTAAACCCTAAACCAGGCATGTTGGGTTTGAATCTTTACCTCTGTTTTGGTCTTATCCTGTCCGCCATGGTGCACATAGGCACTTGCTGCCGGTTATGAGAGCCGGCGCGCACAGTGTGCTGTTTTCCTGCCCATGTGCAACATAGTAGCAGGGCAGGGTCAAGGAGTTGCCCGCGTAATCTGTACGCGTAAGCTGTAACGCCTGGCTGGTATGAACACTGAACCCATGAACGCCACTCGCCGAGCCAGTCCACTGAGAACCCTGAATCTCGACATCGCCACTTTAGCAGGGTTCGATGGTTTCCTAAGCTCCAAAGCGCTTTGCCCCAAAGGCAACCTCATTTTGGTCTTTAGGGCTCCATGAGAAAGTCGCTAGAGACAGCACGTGGCAGGGAGATCCCCAAGGTCCAACACAAAAATTTACGCAAACTCCTCTGCATCCTGTCCTCGGATATGCACACCGGGGTGTAGAAGCCTGCTCGCCCTAGATTTCCCATCCACACCTGCTGTGCACC